GCATGTTGTGGACTCTTTCTGATGAGACAAACTTGGATCATTAAAAAATAAAAACCACAGAGAAATCTTTGTTTTATACTTGAAACATTTTTTCACTTTTGCATAGGAATTGTAGAGATGATAAATATTGAGCAAATATATATATATAAATATATTATTTTATGTTTTAGAAAATGTTATACTTTAGAATTATAATCATTATGCTTTATTCTATTCTCTACTTTGGACTTGTTTGCACTGAGAGCCAAAGAAATTTCCTTGTCTGTGACTTCCTGTTATTTTCATGGCAATAAAAATAATAATGCATCGGTTTTATATAGTGCTTTTTTGGACACTCAAAGACGCTTTACATGTCATTATTCATTCACTCCATACATGGTGGTGATAAACTACTACTGTAGCCACAGCTGCCCTGGGGCACACTGACAGAAGCGAGGCAACCAGTATGTGCCATCGACCCCTCCGACCACCACCAACCATTCACACACACACCAGACTCATTCTAGGCAATGGGGGTGAAGTGTCTTGCCTAAGGACACAACGGCAGTAGCCGCAGCCGCCCCACTGTGGCATCTGATGTTCCCAGAGGTTAAGTGTCTTGCCAAGGACACAATGACAGCAGGAGTCGATGGTGAAAGTCTTGATGTGGGCTCGAACCCACGACCTTCTGGCTCGAAGGCCAATGCTCTACCAACTGAGCTACTGTAGCCCATATGTAAATGATTTCTGATTCTAAAGGAACATGAGACTGTATACAGCTGGACAATGCTAACCTGGTGGCTGTGGCTGTAAAGTGCCAAATTGTTGTTGTGTCCTTTGGCAAAACATTAGAATGAGTCTGGTGCTGATGTCAAATTCTGTCAGTCCTATTCTCATTCACAGTGTGTGGATTAGATCTGGTTCAGGGTGAAGTGAAATGTGTCGTGTCCAGACAGAAGCAGAAAGATGAAAGTGAAAGGTCAACAAGTTTGAGCTTTGAGAGAATGATTACATGGAATACAGGGAAGAGTGAGATAAATAGATAGACACAGAATAGATGAATAGATTGATACTTCATTGATCCCTAAAGGAGGATCAGGTCCAGCAGTTGAAACACATCCTCCATGCAAACATCAATAAGAGATAGAGAGACAACGTTATTGGTCCCTCAGTGGGAAGTACATAACCCACAGTCTGAGGTCAGAGTGTTTCTGTGCTACAAGTTCCTGATACCATTTTGTGATTGAGCTAAAAACAATCCCAGGTCTGTGACTGATGAGGAACAATGTTGGAACGTGAACGTTTTTGAATAAAGACAGCTCTGCTGGAAATATGTTGTGGAGGAATGAGACACATTTACTACAAAAGTCTGTGTTCATGTGTTCATCAGCACGTTTCAAAGAGCGATAGTTTCACAAGCAATGTTCTCCCTCCAGTCTCTCTCTCTGGTCTCTGGTCTCTCGCATGGCCTCTCTCTTCTCTCTCTGGTCTCTCTCTGGTCTTTCTCCGGTCTCCCTCTCTCTGGTCTCTCTTTGCTGTCTTTATCTGCTCTCTCAGGTATCTCTCTGGTCGCTCTTTAATCACTGTCTAATAATGATCTGTGAATACAACAGACACGTCCTTTTTCTACATTTCTTTCTTCACAAACATGAACCTAAAACTTTGAATTAGTATCATAAACTGTGCCTTGTTCCCTGGCAGTAGTCAGAAGTGGTGTGTGGCTCTGGCTCCACAGTTGTCCCTATGCTGTCGCTCTCCGGACTCTAAAAGGTCCAAAAATACCCCTGTGTTTGGTCCCTCCCCCACAGTCTCAGAACAGGGTCAGACTGAAGTGGCTCCTTCTCACTGTCTCTTACTGCAGACCAGAGAATGGACCTAAACGGTGTCACAGAGAAGTAACACAGAGAGGTAGGATTGGACGCATGTCTCTGTTGAAGCCAAACCTCAAACTTCTGTCCGGTTTGCTCTGCTTTCTTTCCAAACATCGAACCAGTACCAGAAAAAGTTCACATATACTAACTGCATACAAGATGTAATTTTAAGTGAGCTGGCACTTTCTTATCTTCCTTTTTTGCTCTGGTCTCTCCCTCTGGTCTCTCTCCCAGGTCTCTCTCCCAGGTCTCTCTCTGGTCTCTTTCTCTGGTCTCTCTCTGGTCTCTCTCTGGTCTCACTCTGGTCTCTATCTTGTCTCTCACTCTGGTCTCATTCTGGAGAGAGTCTCTGGTCTCTTTTGAGTTTCTCTCTCTGGTCTCTCTCTGATCCATCTCTAGTCTCTCTGTAGTCTCTCTGGTCTCTCTCTGGTCTCTCTGGTCTCTGGCCTCTCTGTCGCCAGTTGTGATGTTTTCTGTTATATTGATGTGGTTCAGTGGCAATGGTCTGCACAGCTCTGTCTATGATGTAACAGATCAAGTTCAACACAGTGCATTCTGGTAATGTCCTTCTTCAGACCTGCCTTAGACCTACTTTAGCCCTGCTTTAGTCCTGGTCCAGTCCTGGTCCAGTCCTGGTCCGGCCTCAGCCCTCTCTTTGATCTGTGTCAGATGAAGGTTATTACGGCGTAGACTGCGTTAGTCTCTGGACTCGAACCTTCTGAAGTTTGACATGATGAAAATGGCGTGTGATGGAGCTTCATTGATTTGAACCAATTAGTGTCAGAGTTGGTTCAGCGATGGACACGTCGGCAGCAGGAACACCACTTTCTCTGATCAATTATTAACCGCCATCGCCAACGTTTAACGTCAGCATCACGGACCACGTTTACAACTGCACGAAATAAACCAGAGATATTGCTAATGTTTGAGCTGCTCACAACAGACCAGACCCTTTGATGCTCCGAAAGCTAATATATTTTTTATATATTTATACGTTTGACTGACGGTGATACATGTAAAGCTGTCCTAATCTTAACAGAAATCATGTGATCTTCTGTGTAAGAAAGAGCCTTGTGAGTCACTATCTGCCTCTTTGGGTTGAGAGCTGATGCATGAAAGAAGGAACTGATCAGTTCCTGAGCCAGTTCTATTGTTGTGGGCTGAAAGTTAGGTACCCCAGCTTTAATCAGGTCGAGACCAGTGGGGGCGGGTCCCGGCTCAAAAATGTTCAAAATGACGTGCGCTGACATGTTTGCAATACCATCCGGGCCAGTGGGGCTGGACCCGGAATAAGAATTAGCCAATTCTAATGTATAGCATCTTCTTCCCTCTCTAAACAGCTTTACTGGATGGTCCAAAAGTTGGCTCTTGGCCCAAAGCTACATTCCAGATGTGTGTCAATGCTGAGGGGAGTGTATTTTTTTGGACCAATCTAGTTTAGTCGCTGTAGAATTTTGAAATTTTGTCAAATAAATGGTGCTCGTGCCGGCTGACGCATGTGCAAATGCGATTTTTCACATTATCCATTTTTAAACTGCCCATAGACGGCGACAGTGGTGGCACATTTGTTTCAACGGCGGAGATAGGCATGACTACGTCTGTTAATATTTACAGTCTATGGTTGAGACTAAAGGCCTGAAGTAAAGAAACTTTTCAGTTTCAGTAAAACAGAAAACAAAGGAGCCGGCAGGTAGTATTTCCCAAGCTTGATCCTTTATCATTTGTTTAGAGACAGGAGCGACTTGGATGTTTTTACTGGGGATCGTTGTTGGGATTTGAAAGCTACACACCCCGACTTTAATGAAAGGCAAGAAACAGCTATTACAGGTTTGGTCATGGTCCTATGAAGGGTGTGGACTCTCTGATGATAGTTAATAGTCCTGTGAGACCATGAACAATGTGACCATAGTAGCTGGTGCTGTGTGATGGACTCTCTCTGTAACACCAGCAGACAGGTTCATACAGCAGGTCTCTGCGGACTCTGATACTTCACTCACAGATGTTTCTTTGATGTTTTTAACATAGACCGAGACAAAGTATTAATCCCCCAACCCACTGAGCTCAGTGAGACATGTTAGACATGACGAACAAGAAGAAAGAGGAGAGAGATGCTTCAAGATCAACACAAGGACAGAGCAAACAGGCCTGTAGTCTGTTATAACAGACTACATTCTGTTATAACAGTCCTACAGTCTGTTATTACAGTCCTACAGTCTAAACAAAGGAAGTTTGGTCGCCCATCATCTGTACTTCAGTTAACAGGTTTTCCGACATTGCGTTCTTCATCCAAAGAACTTTGTCAAGGAAATGAAAGCCAATCTCCAACTCGCGGCTGAGCTTTAATTTCCTTGACAAAGTTCTTTGTATGAAGAACGAAATATTGGAAAACTTGCTAAATGAAGTACAGATGATGGGTGACCAACCTCCCTTTGTTTTGAATAATCCCTGTACGACTGAGAGACGACACAAACGTAGTCCTACAGTCGGGGAGTTGAAGAAGCTGATGTGATAGGCTGAGGGAGAAAGGGACCAGCCTGGTGCGATGACGTATGTGGGTTAGTCTACCAGTCTGAACTTCAAATGCATTTCTGATAGAAACCCATTCGAATAAGCTGCATTTCTAATAGGAACTCATCTTTCCTTTAAAGCTAATGTAAAGATGTCACAGAGGCTTCAAATCCTTATATCTTGCTTATCTTGGATTTCTGTGAGATTGTAATAGTCTCATGTTGCTGCTGGGCCCTCTGCTGTTGTGTGTCTGTTCTTGTAGTCATGGGTGGTGGTTTTGGCTGGCCTCCTCGGTCAGTGTGTGAGCCAGAGCAGAAGTGTGTGACCCACATATGAGTCCAGTTACAGTCTCTGAAGGTGAAGGTAAAATTAGACTAGAGGATTACACACACACACACACATATACACGCGCACACACACACACACACACACACACACACACACAGGGGACAGACAGGAACCAGTGACGAGGACTTTATTATAGTATTCAATAAATCACAACAGGAGCCAGCAACATATCAGACTGAGGCTGTAGACCCAGGACTGAGGGTGTAGATTCATGACTGAGGCTGTGGATCCAGGACTGAGGTTGAGATGTTGCCTGCTTCCTCCTGGTTCAGCCTCATGCCTCCTCTGTTGCAGGACATCTGTGAGGACATCTCGGACCATGTGGAGCAAATCCACGCTCTCCTGGAGACGGAGTTCTCCCTGAAGCTGCTGTCCTACTCCGTGAACATCATTGTGGACATCAGGTCTGCTCTTCAGGACTAGATCCTTCTGTGGACCATGTGTGTAATCTCTCTTGTGTCAACAGGAGTGTGCAGCTGCTGTGGCACCAGCTCAGAGTCTCAGTCCTGGTTTTGAAGGAAAGACTTCTCCAGGGTCTTCAGGACTCCAACGGCAACTTCACCAGACAGACAGACATCCTGCAGGCCTTCAACCAGCACACAGAGGTAGGACTACTACTGTGTTTATTTAGATCGTTGTAAATCTTACATTGATGAAAACAATGCGATGAGACAAGGCGCCCGCCACATCGCTCTTCTCTCTGCTCCTTCATGTGATGTCATTGTAAACATAGTCCCATTAAAAGCCTGTGTTTCAGTTCATTTTTTTTTCACTGGGATCTGCCTCTGAAATCCGCGTCAAATCTGTTCTACTGCGACCCTTCACTAGTTACCATGAAACTGGACTTACTCAAAAGCTGATCTTAAAACCAGTGTTATTTCTACGATAAAATACGCTAACAAGAAGCATACAGTACAGTGCTGCTAACTTGCTGTATACAGAAGTAAACTTTAGTATAAACAAAATAATTAGGGTCTGATTCTGGGTCGAGGACATAGGGCTCAATGTGTCGGATTGTCATTGTTGGAAAAAATGTATTCTCAGGTCTGACATGACTACAGTATGTACCGGCAATTCTAAAGAGTTTTCTTTGGAGAAATACAACTCAGCGTGAGACTACAACACTGCGCGGGCAGGGGGAAGGCGGGCTCTAATCTCACTAGTGTTGACTGCTGTATGGTGTATTACTCAAATTGTTATCACACATGTGCATAGGATGGACTGTGTCACATGAAGAAGAGCGCAATATGGCACCTTTAAGTACTTCAGTACTTAAAGGTAGTTTCCCTTTACTAGAGAGAGAAACTACCTTAGAGAGTTTCTCTTTACTTTTACTTTATACTTCTAAGACAAAATATCTGTACTTACGATGATGTATCATGTATTAACAAGGTGCAGAGTGTGAGACGTGTGAGAATAGCCATGACCCTGTGGTGTTTCGTTGCAGACTCGTTTGGAGGAGCTGACGGAGGAGGACGACTGTGGAGCCCTCACCATCCGCTGTAGTCGTGATTACTTCTCTCTAGACTGTGGCATCACTGCTTTCGAACTCAGCGACTACAGCCCCAGCGAAGAGAACCAGCCCACACACCAGTCCAACCGGCCCAAACACTCTGACTCCGAATGTTCAGACAGAAGTGACCTCTCCGACCCTGAGGAGGGAGAGACGGATCAATGCAGCGGAGAAAGCACCAAGAGGAGCCACAGTGTTGGAGGTTCTCCCACACATCAGTCCAAAAGAGCAGCGCTGGTGTTAGAAGGAACCAGGCCAGAACAGGCAACACTACAGTCTGAGAGAGCAGAGAGAACCTGGACAGAGCAGGAGGAGGACAGGGGAGCAGAAATACCCAGGACAGAGCAGGAGGAGGACAGAGGAGTAGAAAGACCTAGGACAGAGCAGGAGGAGGACAGAGGGGGAGAGAGAATCAGGACAGAGCAGGGGGAGGACAGAGGAGCAGAGAGAACCAGGATAGAACAGGAGGAGGACAGAGAAGCAAGGAGAAAAAGTATAGAGCAGGGGGAGAACAGAGGAACAGAGAGAACCAGGACAGAGCAGGAGGAGGACAGATTAGCAGAGAAAACCACGACAGAACAGGAGGAGGACAGAGGACCAGAGAGAGCCAGGCCAGAGCAGGAGGAGGACAGAGGAGTAGAGAGAACCAGGACAGAGCAGGAGGAGGACAGAGGAGCAGAGAGAACCAGGCCAGAGCAGGAGGAGGACAGAGGAGCAGAGAGAACCAGGCCAGAGCAGGAGGAGGACAGAGGAGTAGAGAGAACCAGGACAGAGCAGGAGGAGGACAGAGGAGTAGAGAGAATCAGGCCAAAGCAGGAGGGGGATAAAGGGGCAGAAAGAACCAGGCCAGAGCAGGAGGAGGACAGAGGAGCAGTGAGTACCAGGATAGAGCAGGAGGAAGACAGAGGAGCAGAGCCGAGGCACCAAAAGCAGGACGAGACCAAACACAGCTGCCTTTCCAACATGGAGACTCCGGAGAAACTGGAGATCTGGTTGGAGCTGAACCAGGGCCGTCCACGCAACAAGGTGAGTGACTCAGGACTGGATAGATTATTCACTTTATGTATGTTAGGTGAAGTGTCTACATCTGCTCTGGTTTCCCCTACCACTAAAAACATGTACACTATGTCCGAGGACCCAGGCCACGTGGAGACTAGACCTGACCCTGGTCCTCTGGTCTTTTCATATTGAAAATGTGGTGATTCACACTGAACCAGAGACTGTTCACTTAGTAACATAAACCTGTAAGAAAGAAAGTGAAAGAAACCAAAACCAAACCAGCTTCTAAAACTAAAGGCACGTTCAGACCAAAAGCTTCAAAAAGCTTTTGATGCAAGTTGTTTGACGCTGGGCCCGGTGTGAACGCCTTGTTGCTTGAAGCGAGTGACGCGAGTGACGCGCCTGACGTCGGTGGGAGGAGCTTCTCTGTTGCCGGTAGACCAGACACAACGGTGGATTTTCCAGAGAGCAGCGAGACTTTATTCGTCATATAAATCCAAATAACTTTGTCGTAGGGCTTCTACAAAACATGTTCTGGGTTCACCACAGACTTGAGAGGCTGCAGTGTTTGCTTAGTTTCGTCTTTTACTCCAGGAGCTGCGTACGGAGGAGTTTCGCTTTCAGCGGTACTTCCGCAAGTCACTCTCCCAGTTTGAGTTCCCACACCCCGGAGCTCACCTCTCCCCGCCTCTCGCTCCCCTCTGCCCGCCTGGAGCTGCCTCGCTCCCGCTCTGAGCCAGACTCATCGTCAGCTTCTTGTTATATTAAATAAATTACTTTTACTTCACAGCATGTGTATAATGATTTTGTTACGTACTTATTAAGAACGTTACTACTCATACAAATAACATTACTATTAACAATACTGACAATAAAACAACAGCAGCAGCAGCTACATGACTTCTCTCCATGTCAGAGACAGACCCGCAGCTGCTGCTCCTCGTCTCCTGATTGGTTGAAGCCCAGCGTCAAAGTTTCAAAAGCTCAGCTTTGCTCAACTTCGGCTTCAAGGGATTTTTTGACGCCGAAAGAGACGCGAGCGTTACGCGCGTCAAAAGCTTCAAGTGACGCGCGTATTACACACTACTTTTGAAGCTTTTGACGCGCGGCAAGTGACGCCGGGACTCTCGTCGTCACCTGACACGTTTCACCATTCACTTTCAATGCAAACCTGACGCTTTTGAAGTCAAAGTTAAGTCCGGTCTGAACGCACCTTAACACATCTAGATCCAAATCTAGATATGTAATCGTGTCAAATCAAACTTAATTAAGACGTTTCCCTGATCGGGGCCCACTTAAACCTCCTTGTGTTATTTTTGCAGTGTATATTTCACCCATTGGTTTCATTTATGGTTGAATTGAGTGTTTGTGTGCTCTGCTCACGATCCAGCACTTCAAGAGTCCCTCCATCACCACGGGGGAGAGTGTGCAGACTCTACCCCATGACAGGAGCTCGTCTGTGGACAGTGGGAGCTCCTGCAGCCCCCTGTGTGGAGGGGATGAGGCCGAGGTGAGGCCGGCTCACGCACACAGCGGGTCCTCAGACATGGAGGCTTCAGCCGAGGAGTCCAGACCGTCCAGCTCTGAGACCAGAAGCCAGGAGGACCAGGTAAGCAGCCCTGTGGTTACACAAGGTGGGTGGTTACACAGAGGGATGTAGCTGAGCAGGATGACCCCCTAGGAAGATAGTCTTCTCCACCTGCACTTTGACAAGTCATGTGACTAAATCTTCCACGCAAACTCAATTAACATCCTTCTAATGCACTTGTGTCTGTCCTCTCTGCTCTTCAGATCTTCTACAGCTCCTCCCCACAGCACTGGTTTGGCTCAGAGGAGTTCCTGGCTCTCCCGGCTCAGCTCCGCAAAACCGAGATGCTCACGATGGACCTGGAGTCTCTGGCCAAGTCCATGTCTTTAGTCAGTGCCACAGACCACACGACTGTAGATGTTGTAATCCAGTGATTCCCAAACTGGGGGCCCCAATTGCAGGAAGGGCGCAGGACAAATCAATGTACGAAAATACAGCAGGCTAAATGACACTGCTAGCATAAAAAATGCAAAAAAATCTTATGTATCAAAAGGGGGACCAGCAGAAAAACAGAAAAAGTTTGGGAATCACTGCTCTAATCAAACCATCTGGACGATACTCACTGAATGGATGAATCCTTATCCTGTGTGTGCTCTTTGCTTCAGGGTCTGGGCAGGTGCGATCCTTCCCATGATGCTGTGCAGGACGTGGATGACTGGGACTTGACGGAGCTGAACTCAGACTGGGAGACACTGGAGACTGGAGTAGAGACTGGGAGCAGCGTGGAGGAGAGTGAAGACCCTTCTCCTCTGCCCAGAACACAGGTAACACCAGAGATTCATAAGAAATGGTTTTGGCAAGGGACAGGGACAGGACAGAAGGACTAAAGCGGGTCTAAAGCTGGTCTAAAGCCAGTCTAAATTACGTCTAAAGCAGAACTAAAGCAGGACTAAAGCAAGTCTAAAACAGGTCTAAAGTAGGGTGGGTTAGCTCAGCCAGCAAAAAGTGGAAGGAACTATTTTTATTTCAAACCTTTTTTGGTGCGTGAGTCAAACACATGAGGTTCACGGGAGTGTGAGTGTGGAGGTTCTTCAGACGAAGATCTCACTCGTGTTAGAGCTCTTATAACTCACTGACCTCAGTTGCTGCTATGAAACTGAAATACAGACATCGCTTTAACCCCCAGCAAATCCATTGGTGTGTCTGTGTCTGTGTGAGTCAGCTCTAATCCTCATGTGTTTGTAAAGTCAGCGCTAACCAAGCCCCGGCGATCAAAGATGGCAGTGTATTCAAATTATTGGCTTGTGCTCACTTGAGCATGGGTTTGTGGCTCTCCTGCACGTCCACAGAGGGACACGGGAGTGTTCTGACCAATCAGAGTTTGTTACATTAAAGTGCGGATTTAAAGAAAACCGAAGGATTTAACAAGAAAAGAAGTTCAGAATGACAAGGGACACTCAAATCCCCACAAAATCCATCGTTATGAAAGCTGTAGGTTCTCTGTCACCTAAGATTGAGCTGTTTTAGTTTAAATTGAGTTCTATGGGGAACATTTCTGGTCTAGTGAATCTTAGTTAGTCTGCAGTACGGGAATCCCAAAGTGGGCTCTTACCACTTACTTTGTTTCAGTTCCCGTTCAGACGCCAGCCCCTCCCCAGCCGCTTCAGTCCCTCCTCCTCCAGTGATGTTGCACCCTCATTGGACGAGAGCCTGGAGTCTGGGAGAATCAGTGAGCTGCATTCAGAGGAGGAGGCGGGGCCAGTGCATCGAGGCATCACAGCGCCACCTGCAGATGCTGCTGGGAAATACACCCTGCAAAAACTGCTGCAACAGATACACCTCAGTGACCAGGAGCCACAAGTGTGGATCCGAGTCGAGGTAATACACACACAAACTCATAGACACAAACACGCACACACACACACACACACCCACACACACACACACACACACACACACACACACACATACACACACAGAGACACACACATACACACACAGAGACACACACTTACAGACACACATGTAGAGCTCTCAAGGGAAACATCTCTTTACAGCCCAAGTTTTCAATTCAGTTCTATGGATTTGTTTATGGTCTGTGTATTTTTTGTTCAATGTTTTTTCCAAATGAAAATCAAAAAGGAAATTAAAATGACTTGAATGTCCATTTTTCATTTTGATGAGGAAAAGGAAAAACAAAAAATTGGCTTGATATTTGATGTTTCGTTTCAATGCAGAAAATGAAAAAACAAAATATTGAAATGAATGGAAAAATTGAAAGGATCCATATTCTTCTTCATATTGGGTTGCAACAACAAAAACGATTCCAATAATCCTTAAAGGAGCAATATGTAATATTTGCATGTCAAGTCATCATTAAATGACCCAAATATTTCAAAAGGCGTTATTAAATCATACTCTTTTCGAATTCATCTTTAACTGATAACAGTAGTTCAGCCGAGATATTTGATCATCAAAATTAGTTTTACGACCCGTAAAAGTTGTTATTGTTTTGATTTTGATGTCCTACCCTCTGCCGTTTCGCCAATCAGGAAGTGTCATGTAAGTCCGTGATCGGGTTGCCACAACTCCGTGCGGCTCATTAATCTCAGTGGTAAAATAACATGTGGCGTAGAACTAAAAAAGGTCTTGTTATGACTCTCAAATAATTAATGACAAAACAAAGACTAAAACGAGGATTTATATCGGGACGCCTTTGAACAATTGAGACAGCTGATAAAAGTTTACGTGTGATGCAGAGTTTTCTAGTTTCAGTCCGTTCTTCACGGTGCCTCCGTTCGTGTGAACCGGTGGCCTAGCGGTCTAAGCTACGCTTACGATGCAGGAACCCGGGTTCGATCCCGTGCTATGTCTTTTTGTATTTATTGCATGTGATCACATTCTATGACAGATTGCTCTAAAAACGGTAAAAGATGAAGGTCAAGACGTTTTTTTGCAGATTATAGCTTAATTGTAAAAATAATCATTTAAGACCACATGTACCCCAATTAAAATAATGTTAGTCTCTTTTTGATGTGGGACTTTTACATGTTTGTCTAAAAAATAGGGAATAAATAAAATTGAAAGGTGATATCCTCTTGAGCAAACCCTGATGTTGATACGCTGAAGAAATACGTTCCAACATCCATTCTTCCCACTCCTATTTTGGACATCAATTTCTTATTTATTTTGCATAAACTATGTATAATTATGGGGCGACAGTAGCTCAGTTGGTAGAGCATTGGCCTTTAGGCCAGAAGGTCGTGGGTTCAATTCCCACCTCTACACCTTCTCCACCGACTCCCACTGATGACTGCTGTCGTTGTGTCCTTGGGCAAGACACTTAACCCCACTTTGCCCAAAAGCCCCCACTGAAAGATCAAGGCTATGCTCACACTCAGAGAGCAGCCGTCCTCCTGTGGACTCACCACCTGCAGAGGGTCAGTGAGGGGCTGGTGTAGGCCTGTCGCGATAGTCAATAAATCAATTAATCGCACGATAAATAAAATTTGCTCAATAACTTTTCTGGCCGCGATAAATCCCATTTGCATGCTTGTTTGTTTCCCCCGTCTCTCTCTCCCCCTCTCTCTCGGGTCAGAGAGCCGCAAAGTGGTCACGGCAACATTAGCGGTCTAGCAAGCAGACGGAAATTACTCAAAAATACAAAATACAGCCAAAACAGGACCTAAACCAGGACTTAACCAGGATTGACAATGGGGGACACAGTAGTTGTGAACATATGCCGGCAGCTGAGTTCTCATTCAGGCTTGATTAGTGACTATACTAGCGCAGCTAGCGTTAGCGTGTTCGCCGATGCAGAAGTACCGTACCATACCAATAAAATAAACTTATGGCGCACCTCCGTGAACACATACTGCTGTTATATAAAGTCTCTAGAAGGACTCTGAACACAGAGATGCTGCAGACTTGCATTCTTGGAGTAGAACTTTACACAAAAAACCCGCTAGCTTAGCTGTTAGCATCAAAGCCCGCCCCGCTACTTTCGGTGGGCGCTACCGCAGCAGGACTTCTGTACGCCCCATTGGTGAACCCACATGTCAGTCACTTGTCATTCGCCTGGTGTGTGGGGAGGTGGGACTACTCCTGAGAGATCCTGTCTTAAGCCACACAAAGTCAACATGTTGGTATTTCTTTCTCGTAATCTGCCATAAAGTCTGAGAAATTATTGACATTTGAGGCATCTGTTTCATATTTTCTTTACAAAGGTCCTGGCAGTTTTATTCCTGGTCATTTTTTGTTAAGAGACTGAGTATTTTATTTATTGTTTTTGGTTGTTTGTTAATTTATTGTGTTCTAGCGTTAAATATTTGTTAAAAATAAAAGTTTATTTCTCTTTGAAAAGGTGTACCTGCATTATCGTTGTAATCGATGCAAATGATCTCAGAACGACAATATAATCGCTTATCGCAATAATTTCTGAGACAATTAATCGTCCAGCAAAATTTGTTATCGTGACAGGCCTAGGCTGGTGCTATGAGACTTGGGTGGCATCTCTGACTGCCACCCCCCTGACCCAGAAATGAATTAAGGGGAAGAAAATGGATGGATGGATATGTATAATTATATTGCTTTTATTTTGTTTTTGTTTTTTATCTCAAATGTCCAAATTATAATAATAAAAAAACATGAATCAAAACATTCATTCAGCATTAGCACGGCTGTCATGGCAATGTGAATGGAGACGGACAAACAACTGATAAAATAATTCCCTGTGTTTGCTGCTGGATTTGGTGTGAATCTGGCAACCTGAGTCAGGGAGAGTGGGAGAGGACTACAAAATATTGACTGTGACTGCAGTACCACTTTTGGCCAGATTTTTACATATTGCTCCTTTAAAATAAGTAAAATGTCCATTTCCGTTGCTTTGGCTTTGCATGAAAAACTCAATGCGCCTGCCTGCTTTCTCTGCTGATCACCTTTTGACGCGACTGGAAAGGTTAACGTGTAGTATTGCCTCTGTAAACCACCCGATGTCGCCACTGGCCCATTTCTTTATGTGCCGCCGACACTAGCGCCTACCTCTGTTTCCAACCCGACAAAAATATGGGTGCCCAGCCAACTTCCGGTTGTGCCAAATCGAAAAAACAAAATAAAATTGGCCTGAAACCATTATTCTGCATCAAAACAAAACATCAAATATCAAGCCAATTTTTCGTTTTTCCTTTTCCTCATCAAAATGGAAAAAATTTGAAGATAATTCATTTTTGATTTTAATTTGAAAAAAACCATAGAACAAAAAATACACGGGCCGTTTATCACAGTAAATCACAGCTGCAATCGTCTCTGTGGACTCCACAAAGTTGTGGGTTAACCAACAACAGATCAGAGAATAAAACAGTGAAAAACACAGGAAATGCAAGAAAAACAAAGATATTGGAGCCATTGGTTCATGAGAGCAGGATGACTGAGGCTGTAGATCCAGTCCTGGCTGTAGATCCAGTCCTGGCTGTAGATCCAGTCCTGGCTGTAGATCCAGGACTGAGGAGGGAGTGGGATAATCATTATCCTTAGAGTGTCCATGTAAATGCAGCCAAAGTGCATTAATGTCCTGTATGGAGGATCTTCATCAGCTTCAGACAGAGGACCAGTGTGACCTCTGAGGTCACTGAGGTCTTTGTTCTCACTTCCACACAAGACATTTGGGTGCTGGCTTTACTGAAGTACTCAATATTACAGTTGTGTGCGAAAGTCAGGGCACCCCTTTAAAAACAGCGTATTTTATATATTTAAAAATGTATATTCATATTTACTGTCTCTCTGGTACATGGGAAAAAAAGACAATATTGTCAGGAAACATTAATGCATAGTTACATTTTATTTTATAAATTGAACAAAATTACAAAAATTAAGAACATAATTTTGGCATGTGCAAAAGTCGGGGCACTCTACAGCATCAGTACCTTCAGTACTTAGTAACACCCCCTCTGGCAGATATCACAGCTTGTAAACGCTTTTGCTAGCCAACAACAAGTTTCTGGATTCTATTATTTGGGATTTTTCCCCATTCTTCCTTGCAAAAGGCTTCCAGTTCTGCAATATTCTTAGGACGTCTTGCATGCACAGCTCTTTTAAGATCTACCCACAGATTTTCGATGATGTTTAAGTCGGGAGACTGTGAAGGCCATTCCAAAACCTTCAGCTTGCGTTCCTTGAGGAAGTCCATGGTGGATTTGGAGGTATGTTTAGGATCATTATCCTGTTGTAGAAGCCATCCTCTTTTCAGCTTTAGCTTTTTTACAGATGCTATGATATTTGCCTCCAGAATTCGCTGGTAGTTAATTGAATCCATTCTTCCCTCCACCCGAGCAATGTTTCCTGTCCCACTGGCTGCAACACAGCCCCAAAGCATGATGGATCCACCCCCATATTTAACAGTTGGCAAGGTGTTCTTTTCATGAAATGCTGCTCCTTTTTTTCTCCAAACATACCTTTGCTTATTGTGGCCAAAGAGTTCTATTTTAACTTCATCAGTCCACAGCACTTGTTTCCAAAAGTCATCAGGCTTCTGTAGATGTTCTGTTGCATATTTTTGACGTTGTATTTTATGATGAGGTCGTAGATAAGGTTTTTTTCTGCAGACTCTTCCATGAAGGTCTTGTTTGTGCAAGTATCGGCGCACAGTGGAAGGGTGCACCACCACTCCTGAGTCTGCTAAATCTTCCTGGAGGTCTTTTGAAGTCAAATGTGGGTTTTGGTTTACCTTTCTGACCAGACTACGAGCTGTTCTCTCCGAGAGTTTCCTTGGTCTTCCAGATCTCTTCTTGACCTCCACAGTTCCCCTCACCTGCCATCTCTTAATTATGCCTCGCACTGTGGAAACTGCAAGCTGAAAACGCTTTGCTATCTTCTTGTAGCCC